GATAATGACGTTTGCTTGGTTGGAAATATGAGGAGAGGAGGGGGTGTACCTGTAAGGTACTCCATCGATCTAGTGAGAAAGAGTGCAGAGATATACAAAAAAGAGATTAGGGTTTTTAGTATGAATATTGGATACCTGGGCCTCACAAGTGTGAGGGTTTATATAATGCCCCCAGCGCGTAGCCACTGGTTCATATTTTTGGGCCTAGATATTAGGTTCCTCAAAAATAGGTAACTGTCAGGACCTAGTCAAAACGGGCGGTCGTTCTCGTAATTAGCCGTTGCTTTGAGCAAGGGTGAAATGACGGGCATACGCGTTGTGAGCACCTTCCTGGTTGTTTGCTCGATGAGTAGCAAGCAGACCTGAAACTGGATGTTGATGCAGGCAGACACATAATCCAAAAATAAAATAAAATAAAACAATTAAAATAAAATAAACAATCCAAAGTATCAACAATATTTTTAAACCAATTAAAATAAAATAAACAATCCAAAAATTATAAAAAGTAGCAAACATCAAAATAAAAATATGAAAAAATATTCACAAAGTCAGAGATAATTCAAAGTATTTTTGTGTAATTTTTCATAATTTTTGGATAAAAAATAAAGGAGTTATGAAATTTTTAAATTAAAATCAATTTAAAAACAAATTTGTAAAATAAAATAAATCAGAAATAACATGGAGCATTAGATTTGATTCATTAAAATACGATGCCAGATCAAAAGGACCAAAGTTGATGATGTATGGTGGACATAAGTCAAAGCGCACACATCTGATTCAAAAAAGTCACACCAATAGAAACATTTCAAATGGCATACTATCATTGGTTGAGGATGACACGTTGGTCATCTTCAACCTCCAAACACCGGCAACTAGGGAAAAATCAAGATCCTTAAATCTGTAAATTTAGACACTCATAATGGTATCATTGGACGTGTCTCTTCAAGAGGATCTCAACCATACCCTCGCGCCAAATTTATGGAGACCACAACTTAGTCGTTTTGGAAATTACCAGAGATAAAATGTAAAACGAGTTTTGAATTACAAGCTTAAATCACTATGAAAATTCAAACTAGAAGAAGCATAAGCTTCAGAGAAGAATGGACTACACCCTAACAATTTATTTGAGACAATTTGGTTAAGTAATCTACTGAATGAAGTTCACTTTAAATGCCTCTGAAACTGAACTTATGTGGCTTGATTCTGTGCTCGAATGACTTGGTTTTTGTTGTGAAAAGTTTGTATGATGATCAAGAATGAAGAATCATAAGAGAGTTTTGAGAAAGACGACTAGAAATGTTAAAATGGATTTTCAAATTTCAAGCTTCGAGTGTGACTTTGGAAGGGTGATTCTGGCTATCCAAGCTTGAGGAAATGAAAGGAATATGTTGCTATATTTATAGGAGAGTGAATTGTGATGAGAGTTGGAAGAATTTGTGAGAAAATATTGTAAACCAAGCTAACCCGATGATTGCAAAAAGTGTGATTCCACGTGCATCAAAACTCACTCTAATGTTGCTTTTCAATGCTTAAACCAGTCCATACAAGTTTATTAATAATGTTTAAGTGGAAAATGCGCATCAATTTTGTGATTAGAAGCCACATTAATCAATTTGCAATCTGACTTAGTGAGAAGCTTCAGTTTCAAAGCTCTCATCTTTAAATTCACGGGGCAACTTGCTTAGGAGGCTTTATGGTCTCATTCTTGTTGCATTTGAAAGACCTCGTCACAATCTTTACAATGTGCCAAGAAAGTATTCATTTAGACACTTGAGCTAAAAGTTGTGCTATTTTTGAAATCATGAAAAATCAACTGCTTTTTGACACTTAGAAAATTTTTAAGTATTGAGCTTCAAGATGACCTATAATGTTTTGCCAACTTATATGACCTTTCACTCAAAATTAGCTCTTGACCATTGAAGATGAAATGAATCAGACTCCTTAAATGGAGTTATGGAATTGAGATCACTCAAAAATCATAAAAAATGAGAGAGTTATGGTTCTTGGAAGTTGATGAAAATTTCTTGAGAAATCCACAAATGACTTGTAATGTTTTCATCAATTCCATAACTTTCCATACATTTTTAGATCTTGATCTTTGAATCAAAGTTGTATTATACATCCTTAAGTTTCTTATGAAAAATAATAAGCTCAAGGAGATGAAAATTGACCAAGTTGTGATCTTTTGAAGTCAAGTCAAAGATTTCAATGGTTTTCTCAAAGGACTTGTAATCTTTTCAAACTTTTGATGATTTTCCTTGCACAATTGGATCTTGTTATATGAAGATAAGTTGTTGTAAATGATGAGAATAGTCCATAAAAAAATAACCACTTCAAAATATTGAAAATTAAAAGAGTTATAGACTTGTGACTATAGAATCAAGAACTTATCCAAATTAGGTCAAACCACTTGGATCAACTTTGAATCTTTTGAACTCTTTTTACAATTTAAGACATGATGAATCACATTAAACCTTGAAATGGTGTTGCTTTGAAGCACACTTGTTGATGAAGCTCATTGCTTTGATGAAACTTATTGAAGAAGGCATGTAAATAAACACACGAACCTATGAATTTTATTGATGAACTCAACCACTAAGTTTGAGACAGTTTTGACCAAATGAGGTTGAGAGAGCTCTTAATCCATAGAAACTTTGATGCCACAATCATAGCCTTGAAGTTCAAGCCTTTAGAATCCAATAAATAGCCATTTTACTGAGTATTAACCTTCAAAACCCTAGCTTATAAGGTAAGGGTGATGTCATTGGCTCAATACCTACAATGTACAAAACATAAAAGAAAATGCATACATCTTTTTGGATTTTGGTTAAGGGTTAGTAAACATAAAATACACAAATACAAGATACATAATTTAAGGTGCTTGGTGTTCCCTCAAGGACAAACCTAAAGTTAAGAGAGAACAGAAAAGATAACCAACCTTAATGTGTGATCTTGATGCATTGTGATGGTATAAAGTGATGAGGGATCTTAGGGATAAAAATTGAGGTATAACACCCAAACGGCGAGAGACCCTGTATGGTGGTATTATGGTGTGTTCGGTGATAAGAGAGGCCAACTCATGTGAAGTGAGAAACTCTGTATTATGCAATATGTTGATTAGGTTATGATCTGTCTGCTACCCTTAAAGGGTCATACATTTATAGGGGCTATTGGGCCTAAGGCTTAGGAAACCCTAAGAAGTGATAACTGCTCCCCATTGATTGGGGAAGAATATTGGTTACCCGTTTTCCAAGAAGTCGTGGTATGACTTGCTCTTATATGACTAGTGGGGAGATAACAATATCATACATATGATCTATCCTAAAGGAGATCCTCCATATTACGTAAAGATAACACACATGTGAAGCCTTGCTAGGCGAGGACCCTGACGTTGCCTGTTTTTGGAACTCTCACAAATATTACACTATAAGAATCATGACACCAAAGACCATTTGCTACTAATAAGTTGCAAGTGATTTAAGTGTTTTTCTTATATTTATCATTTTCATTCTTAATGCGTAAGAATGTATAAGTTATGGTTGCAATTTGTTGTATTTACTTTTTTCACTATGATCCAAATCTCACTTGTTGAACATTGTGAAGTTTCATGAAATATTAGTCATTTGAATATTAATGAATGTGTTGTTGTATTATGTAAATCACAAGAACTAATATGATAAAGTAGCGAACAAACACACATGCTTACTTAATCTCTTGAAGTATAACATATTAGGACCATAGAGGTAAACAAAATAAATTTATTTAAAGTGTATTGATGCTATTGTAAGGCTTATACATAAGCTCTATAATTACTTACTATATATTCTTACATTGTTAACAAACACAACAAAGTTTAGTTTTGGTCTCACATATCACGACACCACACAACATAAGTAAGCATAAGATGAATTCATAAAAAAAATCATTGTCTAACATAATGTCAACCATTTGTTATTCCTATATGATCTCCATAATTTCAACCATGTATGAAATATCAAACTTCCTGCTGTTTTAATATAATCTCATGAAATTGATACATTTTGTTTCCATCTGGACCGAGACAATATCTCATAACCCAATAATATATATGAACTACAATACATAACCCATTAACGAATCAACACATCTAAAAATCTACTTAGTTAAAACACCACTATAACATCAAACAAGTGACATGAGATAAAAATACTCTACCACCACCTATAGATTCAAGGTAGGTTATGAAACCTCGAAAACAAGCACGAACCTATCATAATTTTTTTTTTATAAATTCTATTTTAAAATTCTATTTTTTAAATTAAATATCTCTAAATTTTAAAAATTAAACAAAAATTTGTTAACATCACAAACAAAATCATGATAATTTCTTTCCATAAAAAATCCTTTCAAATCATAATTGAATGAATTTAGTATATATACATTATCAATATAAAGTATTTAACAATGATAACTAAATATATTTAAGTTAATTATAAGCACTTCTAAAGTCATATTCATAAATAATTGTGATGAGCCTATGACTTCTTACATGTGTTTGACAATTAAACTTTTAATTAAATATGCTTCCTAGTCTCTTGATATTTTTATAAGAACTAATGCTTTAAATATATTAAAAGCACACATTTTCATAAAAGATAAAACCTAAAAATGATAAGTGAAAAACACATTTAACCTCAAAAATCCAATTACCACATTTAGAAAGAATAAAATCATGTCAAAAGCATAATTTACCACTATGTGAACATGGTCGTTTTAGTCTATCAAAAGGTGTAAACACGACGAGTGAGAAGAAGTGCGGTCGTTTGACACTTCTTTTTTTCTCTTCCAACGGTCCACCCATCATTGACTATCCTCTTTCAAACTCCCTTACATCATCTTTTGAATTCTTCTCTCTTTTTTTTCCCTTTCTTTCCCATGGACAATGTCTTCACCAGATTCCCTAAACCCTAACCTCCTTCAATTTCTCAACTCCTTCCCTTTCTAATTGGCTATCAATTACCATGTCCGTTTTCGTTGTAACCGCCATGGATTTCGCCGTCCTCGGGTTTCTGGTTCCGTCTCTCTGGGAGATCGAAGTCGCTTTCGTTGCCTCCGTATTAGTTATTCTAATTCACTGGTTCTTCACGTTTAGAACCGGTGACCGTAACTCCGATCGATCCGAGAATTCTGTTGCCGATTCCTCCGACGATAAGGTCAAGGTTACTTTCGTTTTTTCATTCGTTACCGTTACCGCGTTTTTTTTGCCATCTGTTAGTTACTGTTTTCAATTTTCATCGTGCTATTTCAAAATCACGCGCGTAAATTTCAGTTAGATCAAGTTTTTTATAGAAGAATCTTATTTTATGCTTTTGCGAACCAATTTATTTTCTGTTTTTAGTAATTAAAGAGGAATTGATGATTTTACCTGAAGTGGAGGATTTGCTTGATTGCGTTTGTAAATTGATCAATTCGCGTTAAGGAAATTCTGTTCTACTTAATGGCTTTTTTCTTTCGTGGAGTAATTTTTAACTTGTTGACATGCAGTTCTGCACTTGTTTTTGTAGATTGGCCTGATCAGAGGAGACTCTCAAGCCAGTTCAGCATACCTGATTAAGGTAGTTTGAATTTCTTTCGAGTCCGTGTCAGTGTTGGACACCGGCACGACACTTGTGATTACATTTATTTGATTCATTTTTTCAAATTATTACAGCTGTCGCCGTGTTAGTGTTGGTACCGTGTTCGGAGTGTATGTGTTTTATAGTTGATAAAAGTTTTTCTTTATTTTTAATTCTTGCTATCTTTTTCAATTTCCTTTGCAGTTAGAACTATTGGCTGCTAAAAATCTAATTGCTGCAAACTTAAATGGAACATCGGATCCTTATGCCATCATCACATGTGGCAATGAAAAGCGGTTCAGGTTTGATGATTTGCTTTTCTGTTTTTCTTTCCCCCTTTATTTAACATATTATATTCCCATGGAGTACTGGACCTCTATATCTATGAATTATTCTGCAATTCTGGTTGCAATTGAGTTGACTGGTTTTTGATCTGAATATACTGCAACCATTTTGAGAGTCAGTACTAGGCTTCAGCTTTATTGTATTGGGATAGTTGCTTTAGACTTTCATGAACATATATTGCAACACTGCTAAGTTTAGGGTTGGTCTTTCAGGAGAAACAATATTTTGTGCCACTTTAAAATAAATGCATAATGTATTAAAGATAGGTGGAGACCTCTATTTGCAGACACATATATCTATATATATGTAAAGCCGAAGAATGTCTTTGTACATAAATTGAATACATGAACTATTGGAATTGGTCATAGAACAAAAAGAAATTAAACAATTTATGCTATCATAGTCTCTTAGGGGTGTGGCAAACTGATAGTATATGTTTGATGATGGGAGATGGAAATTGAATGTCCAATTACCCAACTATTTGGAAGGTATACTCTTGAAGGGGGTATTGGAGGTCTAACTCTGTCATGTGGTGGTTAGAGGTAGGACAGTATTAATTTATGCAGGGCAGTTATGTTATAACTATGTGTTTAATTTATTATTATGTGTAGAACATTTATATGCTAATTATCAGTGTTACCAATTAGCGGCTCCATGGCAGCTATGGCGAATATACATGGCGGTTTTTGGGCTCGCCAAAATGGTAAATATCGGCCGATATTGCAGGTATTTCCGCCATAATCTGCTATAACGGCACTGCAAAGCAGCCGGTATGGCGGGATTTTGTCACTCCGCCATGGACCGCCATCCACCATGGATAACACTGCTAGTTATACATCTAATATGCAGGACAGTTAGTAGCAGGTATATACTCATGATACATGATGTAAGTAAGGAGTTAGGAGGCAGTTACGGTGTGCATTTGATAGTTTTGGATTGAGATGACTTCATTCTTGTAGGAGTTTCACAATACACCAATTTAGGTCATCATTCTTGTTGTAGTCTATGAAGTTCTGTAATTCATACACCAATTTGAGTTGGTATTCTGCCATTTTCCATACACAATATATGTCATTCTCAGAAGCATGATTTTTGCTCAACATTTTTCTTTGGGCCATAGTAATTTTATCTTTTGGTGTGCTGATGCAGTTCTATGGTCCCTGGTTCAAGAAATCCAATGTGGGGCGAGGAGTTCAATTTTAATGTCGACGAACTTCCTGTCCAGGTTGCTGCATATCATCCATGCTTTGTTTTGTAATCTTAAGTTATAACCAACATATTACAGTTGCTGAAAATGATTCAGTGGTTTTTGAGGTTCATTTCCCTGATTTGATGTTGAAGCTTTTTTTTTCTTTCTTTCCAATAAGTGGAAGCAATTATTTTATAATTGTAAAACTTGTCTTCTGGGAACTTGTTTGGTTTTTTTTGGGTATAGTATTTTATAGACCGAGTAGCTTTACTACCACTTAGCCATATATTTCTGACAGAAACCAATTGATACAGAATAGGAAAATAATGAATTTCACTGGAAAAAATTACAAATGTGCACAGGATTACATCAGATGATACTGCACAATTACCCAGACCCTATGGCTCGGAAAATCCTTCTCCGCCCAAGCTTAAAGCTGTTACTATCGAAAATGACAGTTATACATACCCTCTCTTCCCATACTCTAATAACTGTCTTATGGACATGCACACTTCACTCCCTCCCTAGCGAGTGATTTGCCACATCAGCAGATTCAGTCTGTTTATCCCCATTTTGCCTTTGTCTATTCCTCCTACTATAAACATTCCAGATCCTATGCATTTGGTTTGGGCTATTGTGGTCCTGACCTTCATTCATACCCAGACCTAACAAATTGGTTTGGGCTATTGTCATATTGACATGCACCCTACACTCCCTCCCTAGCGACTGATTTGCCAAATCAGCAGATTCAGTCTGTTTATCCCTATTTGGCCCTTGTCTATTCTTCCTACCATAAACATTCCAGATCCTATGCATTTGGTATGGGCTATTGTGGTCCTGACCTTCATTCATACCCAGACCTAACAATTCCATACAAGTGAATTTCTTTTTTGGCAGTTGATAATGTAATTTATTTTTCTGTCAAGCCTTTGTTGGAAAATGTCTGGTGTTTGTGCTATTCAGTTGTCACTGTGATTAGTAGTCTTTTACTTAATGGACCTAACAATGTTTTGATAAATGTGTGTACTGTGCATATCATCCGAATTCTCTAATGTTGCATTTTCTTGTTAAGTTTTATGCAGAATTCTATTTTCAATTTCTCATACCAAGAAAAAAAATGAATGATTCAATATAAATAAAAATAATACTGAAATTAAATATATCTATGCATTTATACTTTTGCGAAGTTAGTCTTAGTGGTCAAACTTTGAGCATTTGCTTGGATTGATCACTTACAAAGAAGAGGTGTTAACATACTTCCATGGGTAGTTTCAGTATATGCTTCTCAATTGACAGAATAAATCTGTTATGTAGGTTTTCATGAAATTGACTTCTTTTCCTGGTGACATAGCAGATCAATGTCACAATTTATGATTGGGATATAATTTGGAAAAGTGCTGTTCTTGGTTCAGTGACTGTTCAAGTTGAAAGTGAAGGTCAAACTGGTGCTGTGTGGCATACTCTGGATAGCCCATCAGGGCAGGTAATATCTTCTTTCAGAAGGAATTGTTTGGTTTCGTAATTTTCATATGACTTTTTGTTGTGTAACCTGCTAGCATTTTATTATGCCTCAGAAACATCATTAAATGTCTGTTAATTGAATGTCAGGTTTGCCTTCATATAAAAACACACAAGCTATCAGCAAATCCTACCAGGTGAGGCTTTTGGTGTATAGTCGGTCTTTTTATGTATTTAATTTAGATTTACTTTTAGTTGTGCTATTGCTCCCTTTTGAAGCTTGTATTTATCTTAAGTCCAAGATACTTTATCACTGTTATTATCATTATATGTTAGCTTATTTCTCATATTTATTAATTGACTTGACTGATAGGATAAATGGTTATGGCGGAGCCAACACTCGAAGAAGGATACCCTTGGAAAAACAGGGGCCAACAGTAGTCCATCAAAAGCCAGGACCTCTTCAAACGATATTTGAACTTCATCCAGATGAGGTCACCAACAATACATATTTTTTTGTTATTTTATTGATTATATTTATACATTAGGATGTTTTGTCTTAGATCTTGTATAAACAGACACTGTTGTCCAGTCCTGTTTAAGATTGTGTTTGCAGATCTAATGGGTGGAGTATATATTTCAGGTTGTTGATCATAGTTACTCTTGTGCACTTGAGAGGTCATTCTTGTACCATGGTCGTATGTATGTATCAACATGGCACATTTGTTTTCATTCCAATGTGTTCTCGAAGCAAATGAAGGTCAGAGTTGAAATATTAGAGCATATATATTATTACTTGTTCGAGTTGGTTGATCCATCACTTAGAAATATAAGCCCTTCACACTTGTTATCACTGCAAATTTGTTATTTATTTTTTGATTCCTTTGTTTTGTATTTATATTGTCTTTATCTTTTATTAGAAAGAGCAGTTGTAAATTGCCTGTATGAATATTTTTGGGATATTTGACAGGTGGTTATTCCATTTGAAGATATAGATGAGGTACAACTTCTGTTGTTTTTCTCTCCTTCCTCCCCCAACTTCATATTTCAGTTACCATACAACTTACTTCTGGTGCAACTATTCTGCTTTTTCTTAAGATTCGAAGGAGTCAGCATGCATTTATTAATCCTGCTATAACAATTATTCTTCGTATGGGTGCTGGTGGACATGGTGTCCCTCCTTTGGGAAGTCCTGATGGTTAGTAATATGTTTAAACATTTCATTGTCAGTATCGTTCGGGGAACTTTTAATTGCAATTATAATCCAATGCTTGTTCATATTCTTTCATAAATAAACTCAATCATATTATACCCTAAATTTTTCATGGGTTTGGTAATAGATGACAATTATATTTGGTCCATGCGGATTTTCCTTCATTGTCGTTGATGTCTGTGCTTTCATTATGACTGGCATCTTACTATACTGGGAATCACATTGTACTGTAAATGGTCACCTTCTTTTGGCACAAAAGATGGTCTTTATCGAATGATTTGGTTTGCTCTTGATATTTCTTTATTTCAGGCAGAGTCAGATATAAGTTTGCATCATTTTGGAACAGAAATCATGCATTTAGAAATCTACAACGCGCAGCAAAGAACTTTTGTGAGAAGTTGGAAACTGAGAAGAAGGTCACATCTCTCGCTTAATCATTTGGTCTTCTTCACGTGTATTACAAATTGTGATCTTCATATTTGAACATGATGCTTCTTATTATAGAATCCACGAGAGATTTAATACTAGCCATAATATCTTTACAATATCCTGTCCTTTTGGGAAAACACATTATGAGACTGATTAATCATATGCTCCCATCCCATGTACTAACTATGAGGTTTAAATTAAAATGCCCTTAGTGTCTCAAAGATAAAAATGTTGCAGTGAAAATTAAGATCAAATCTCAATTACAATTCTAGAGCTAGAAGTTCCAAAGAGGAAAGAGATACACTCTCTTTCTCTTTCTCTTCCTATTACAAATCATGACATGGGTCACACAACCATCACTCTCCCATTGTAGAGATGACAATAGCATTTTGTCTTTTTGAGCGGTTTAGGCATGTATAGAGAAGATATGTAGAACCACCAGCAAGGGGAGTATACCGGATGAATGATAGCTCAATAGGTAGAAGTAGAGGGATATCATAGAAAGCTATGTATAAGATCATTAAGATTTAGAGGTAAATGGTCCATCTTTAGACCTAATACATGATAGGACTTTATGGCATCAATTGACCAAGAAAGCAACACACGTGTGGTGAGACAATATTTGGTTGTTGGAAAAGGGAATTCAGAATTGGTTTCACTCATTAGCCCAAAAGCAAGTGAAGACAGAGATTATAAAGGACAAGGACAAACCATTTTTCTGATAAAAGCTAAACTAGTTCTTGGCTTGACTCTCTTTATTGAATTTTTACCCAAAATTTTATGGATAATTTCAAACAATTTCATGTGATTCAATGTTTCGTTATACAGGAAAATGCAGAGTCAGAATTGCGAGCGCATAGCAGTTCTGTCAGACAAAGTGCCGTAATGGATAAAGTTCCGGAAGCCAGCATGCCGAAAGTTGAAAAACTTAAAACTTTCATCAAAGAAGAAGCTTTAGTTGGTATATACAATGTATGCATCCTTTTCTCCTTCTCTCTTCACGAGTTCAGCTACCATCTAAATTTTTTGGTATATAACTAGTGATCCTTCTTCAGGATGTTTTCCCCTGCACAGCTGAGCAGTTTTTCAATTTATTGTTAAAGGATGATTCAAAGTTTACTAGCAAGTATCGCTCAGTACGAAAGGATACTAATCTTGTGGTAAGTTTTCAATTATTATCGCGGTTCTTGTTAAATGTTGTAAATTTCTCAAATAGATAAAATGGAAACCAAATGTGATATAAAGAAAAACTTACTCGTTGTTATATGCTCGTGACTTCAATTAACTGCCATGCAAACTAGCTTGGCCTGTTTTTAAAATTGATGAACTCGAGTTACGCTGTTGTTGAAAGCAATGCTAAATGCAGAAGATCAGATTGTTCAAATTAAGATAGTTATCTTCATTTAAAATTGTTTAATCCATGTGATCCACGTAAGATAAAATACTATACTTGTGGTAGGTGTTTGCATACAGTACTCGTGATAATATTTAGCATTGCTGTTGTTGAAAGCAGTGCTAAATGCAGAAGACCAGATTGTTCAAATTAAGATAGTTATCTTCATTTAAAATTGTTTAATCCACGTGATCCACCTACGATAAAATACTATGATAAAATACTGTACTTGAAGTAGGTGTTTGCATATGAGCTAATTGTGGTTTTGTCAAATAACGGTGTTATATCTTATAGATTGCCATTAATCTGTATGTGACAACTTATAGAAAATTTAACATGCAATTCAAAATTATAAATAATCACATATAATAATTTAGCCATTGGATATGTTGCCCATGGAAAAAATGGGGATCGGATTGGCTCGTTTGCCCAATTGTTGGTAAACCTATCATAGAAATCGGGTAACTTAAAGACCATTAAACCATTTTGAACCTGTCTAATTTTAAGAAAGTTAAATTTATAATTTTTTGTCTAATCAGAAATGTTCTGACCCATACCAACACAATTACAAGGTAAAAGGATAGATTAATATTATTCATCTTTTATTAGTGATTATTTATCTTGTAGAACAAATAATATGGTTCTTTTTCTACTCATTCAATTTTTTTATTCAACTTGGTTATTTATTATTCGACGACTTAAATATTTATAAGATAATAATAAAAATCAAAATATATATTCAAAATTATCACCACTTTAAAATCAAAATTAACTTGCTTTTTTCGTGCATCATTCTGAGACTGTTAGGGCATAGGTATGCTGTCATAATAATGCTCATTCCATGGATTTTATAATGCTGTATTAATCCTTCACACTTTTCTAGAACAGTTGGTTTATGACAAAATATCAAAGATCACGTGGTCTAGAGTTTGATCCTTGTTGTCCCTTATTCCTCTAATAATAAATTGAATATGTTGAATTCATGCATAAGGTGCAGCAGGCTTGTGCGTTATCAACACTTAAAAGCCCAAAGGGCTCTCACGAGAAGGGGCGTGTTAAAAATGTATTAAAAAAATCATCGACGTGTTTTCACCTAAAACTTTTAGATTAATTGGTTCATAACATTATGTATGATATAAATTTGGATACCCAAACAACATCCTGTTTTTAAGTTGTTGATTAGCTATATGGTTGTGTTTTTTTCAGATGGGGCAGTGGCATACAGCAGAAAAATATGATGGTCAAGTCCGAGAGATAACCTTCAGATCCCTTTGTAACAGCCCTATGTGCCCTCCTGACATAGCCATGACAGAGTGGCAACATGTTGTTCTATCACCAGACAAGAAACACCTGGTTAGACTGTTGGTTGAATTTACATATCAAATAGAAGAGCTTTAATAGTGATTTTATTATATTGATTTAGGCCCTATTTGGATAAACAAATTATTTACAACTTATAGCACAAACAAGTGCTTATCATGATAAGATACAAATTGAAGAACTTAATAAAATAAGATGAAAATAGTTTTCGAATAATGTCCTGTTGTTTTCATAAGTTATCCAAAAGTTTCTCAAATCTTATGTTAGTAGATAAACTCAAATAAGTCAATCCAAACAGCTCCTTATTTTGTGGTCTGGATTCCAACTCATATGTTCCATTTGGGTTCTTTGGTGGTGTGACTTCTTGTAGGTGTTTGAGACTGTGCAGCAGGCGCATGATGTTCCATTTGGGTCCTATTTTGAGGTACATAATGCTTACAATTTCTGTGATCAGTTTTTAGCTGTTATTACTTTTTCTCTTAAAATTTTTTGTTCCCGAGATCTGATTTGAATTGTTCAAACTTATATATGATTGTCGGTGTGAAAGGGTTTACATATAGTCCACCGTCACTAAAGAGTTTCATTGCATGTAAACTATAGGCTACTACATATGTCAATTTAAACTATAATAATTTTAATGGAGCAGCCATTGAAGCAAGATAAAGTGTCTGTGAAAAATAAGAATAATATTGTTTTGAATGTGCTTGAGATGCAATGCTCTCAGCATAATGCTTAATTTATAATCATGTAGTTACAACTTACAAGGATAATAATTATGTGCAATTTACAAAAAGGGAATTAAACTAATACAAATTACCAAGATACATAGAACTTAGTATGTAATGAATTAACTAGGAAAAAGCAGAATTAACTACTTGGAAAATGCAGAATTAAATTATTAGAATTTCCAACAGTGTCAATACATCTACTGCTCAAATTCATCATTTGATTTATTCTATGTGACCTATATTGCAACATCGATTTTTAACTTACTTTAAATATAGCCATGAAGTTCTGCATAGTGCATATATACTTTATACATGTTATTGAAATTGTTTGTGCTCTTGCATATGGTTATGACAGCAATTTGCCACTGCACCCCTATGTGATTAACTAGATTAGAATTTGTGTGAAGCTGCAACCCACCAAACTACTGTATTACAGCTTTTGTTAAGGGGTACAATCCTGTCTAGCTACTAGTACACTAAGTAACTTTAAGTAGCACCTCTTATAAAGGAAAGGATAATTAGTATTTTAGATAATGTAGATTGTATACGAACTCTTATTACTATAAGCTTTTTTTTTCTTTTTCAAAATGCTCATTTGTGACTTTCTATCAAAAAGGAGAAAGAACGGGTAGTTGGGTACTATTACCTGTTCTAGAAAATTAGAAATCATGGATGGTTATACATCTAATGATGATTGGTGACAGGATTACGATTTGGGCTTAATGAACAGAATAGAATGGAAGCATTGTGTTAATTATTGTCAGTGCCCTGTTTGTCTCCCTATCATGTTCTAACATTTATGTTTTTCTGATTTGAAGTGACATTATGTTCTTGACCAAACAGGTGCACTGTAAATGGAGTTTGGACACAGCCAATGGAAGTTCATGTGCTCTGGACATAAGAGTGGGTAAGTTTAGATTCCGACAGTCCTGTTTTTACTTAGAATACACTGTCTGTCATTTATGATGTAGTCCTCTTCTAATCTCCAGCCACAAATAAGTCTGATTATGATAAGATTATCCAGTTATGTTGTAGAGCTAAACTCTTGTGCATCCTTTCTCATTTTGCTTTCCTGTGAAATACAGTCACCGAAATATATATTGAAGTTTCTTATTCTAATTGTAATGTCTGACAGTCACTATAATATAGAAACTCAGATTTATTCATTTATTTGTATGCGTGGTAACTTATCACCTGTAAACCACCAGAAATAATGACTCTAGTTGGTTTGTACAGTGTACTTAAGGTTGAATATCATTTTGCATCTTAAATGCACCATAGAGAAATAACATACTAGTGACCAGGCTAAAAGATTAAGCAGGCTAATATTGGAGAAAATGAAATTGAAATTGAGAAAACTGGAAAAGGCAAAGTCACTGAATAGTGAGCTTTTTTATCCCGGTTTCCGATTATTTGGCCATACCACTTACTCAAATTCAACACGTGTGATGTGATTGAACCAGCTGACCAGCCTTCTCGATTGAAATGGATTAATTTTCTTTCAGACATTCACAGATCTTGGTTTTTGCATAAAATTAGATTGGTGTCATATCAGATTGTTATTTATCCTGATATCCTGTTCGGTAATTTTCTGGAAACTTCTGCTCTGGAACATAAACCAAATATAAAGAATGGCCTATTTTTCTTTTTCCACGGTTGAATATACTGGGGTATATTGTTCCTTGGTATGATGGAGTCCCTTTTCTAAAGCTTTCAAAATAATACGAGTCACTCGGACCAGTTATATCCTGATCATTTCTGGACACTTAGGTAATATCTTCTATGAGAAAGGGTCCTCTTTAGTTTTGCATGGTCCCAGTAGACAAATACACAGACTTTACCTAGTTAAATTATTGAATCATGGATAGCCAAGAGTTCCGTCCTCTTTAGTTTTGCATGGTCCCAGTAGACAAATACACAGACTTTACCTAGTTAAATTATTGAATCATGGATAGCCAAGAGTTCCAGGACTTGAGGGGCCCAAAACAAATATCGTTAGGAAAACTTTGAAGTAAAAGAAATTAAATTCCTTCTTTCATTTCATTGTTTTATTTGTTTATTTAGGACGAAGTATGATCACAGGTGAATTGTTTCTGCAGGTGCACATTTCAAGAAATGGTGTGTGATGCAATCCAAAATAAAGTCAGGGGCAGTCAATGAGGTTGGTAGATCTTTAATCGTTTGCAAAGTTATTGCATCATTACTTTCATAGGTTACTATCAGCTTTAAATAGTTCAATTTTTTTGTTGTCAAATGTAGTACAAAAAAGAAGTCGATGTGATGTTAGATGTTGCCCGTTCATATATAAAGTCATATACTTCTGATGACGAGAATGATAAGGTCTCTTCGTCCCCTGCGACGACTTCGGAAAGTTAACATATTTGGGCAACCTTAGATTGTAATTTTGTTGATATGTGCAATGTTGTTGTAACTTTCCTTTTTCTTTTGTTATTTATTCTTGTAAGTTGCAACACATGGCAGAGAAAGTCATGTATCTTTTGATGCTCATTTGGTTTTTGTCTTGTGTATCTCTGTCGATAAATTGCTTGGTCGTAAAGGTTTTTCCATCATTTTTTTGTGTGGAAGTTTACATGATTGTTCTTGAAAGGCTTACGTGGAAATGTAAATTTATTTTGTCATTTGTTTTATTCTTACTATAGATTTGGCGTTTAAAATAAAAGCCATCATATTGGCTACCTGACACTTCTGTTGTATTATACCGTAAGAACTGGGTTGTCTTATTGAGCGTTGTGGAGATTTTATCTTCGTATTGTTTTCTGCCACTAACAGGCAGAGTATTCCATAAATTTTGAGAATTTCTCATTCCATCTTATAGTGAAAAGAAAAATCTTATGCAATTCTTAAAATATCATTTGAAATCGGAAATATATTTTCGGTGCACACTTTTTCTGTTAAACTTTGTCTAAGAATTGGAGATACCTTTGCAAAGCGAATTGGAAATGTATTTTCGGTTTCTGTGTAGACAATATTAGAAAGAGTTATGCTGACAATGGATTGTTTTGCGCGTCGTTTCGCATTGAATACAAAGACGTATACAACAAAATATACTACATAGACATATAGAACAAGGACATATATAAATAGATATTAGTAAACAGTATAAAAGATGCTCGTAGTCTGTTGCACTCCAAAATTTACCCTCTTGATTTAGGCTTATGTTTCATCATGAATATCATATTGCATTGCATTCATACATTGTGATGGAATTAAAATACTTTGGTTATCAAGTCTTCCTCAAGCTTTGAAGGTTGATTGCATTGTTTTTTGCCACTAATAGGCAGAGTATTCCATAAATTTTGAGAATTTCTCATTCCATCCTATAGTGAAAAGAAAAATCCTATGCAATTCTTAAAATATCATTTGAAATCGGAAATTGATTTTCGGTGCACATTTTTTCTGTTAAACTTTGTCTAAGAATTGGAGATACCTTTGTAAAGCGAATTGGAAATGTATTTTCGGTTTCTGTGTAGACAGTATTAGAAAGAGTTATGCTGACAACGAATTGTTTTGCGTGTCGTTTCGCATTGAATACAAAGACGTATACAACAAAATATACTACAAAGACATAGAACAAGGACATATATAAATAGATATTAGCAAACAGTATAAAAGATGCTCGTAGTCTATTGCACCCCAAAATTTACCCTCTTGATTTAGGCTTATGTTTCATCATGAATATCATATTGCATTGCATTCATACATTGTGACGGGATTAAAATACTTTGGTTATCAAGTCTTCCTAAAGCTTTGAAGGTTGATTGCATTGACAAGTTGCTCAAGTAGAACCTTATCATCTAAACCTTTGGATCTTTCAAGCTCAAAAGTTACTGTATATCTCAAGATATTTTATCCATCTCTTTGGATCATCAGAGGATTGAAGTTTGTGATTGATTATAAGAAGAATCACTCTTTTGATTCACCAGTCAAAATTAGGGTTTTGCTTGATCAAGGCTATTAATCAATGTACAAGTCTTGATCTGGAAGCTACAACATCTCATTGGTATTTGAAAAGTCTTTGTACAAGAAATTGGTCAAGATGCCCAGAGGATTTGAAATTTTGGAGATGATTTATCAGTCTCCTAAGGTGTTAAACAAAATTAGGATTTGGGATTTTATCAAGATTTCTTGAGAATTTTGAAGTGAAACTTTGTACATGGCCTCTATATATTTGAGAGATAGTATGTTTGAAGTTTTGACCATCAATTTTGAAGAGAAGTGGACCAATTAATTCAAAGGGGCAAAATGGTCATTTTGGTCAAAATCAGTCAAAGTCAAGGTTGACCAAGTGAATTTTTGGTCAACCATCAATTCAAGGGTGTACTTTTCATATTTCAAGTCCATTTTCATCATTGGATCAAAAAGATTGAGGTTTGGGTTGAAACTTGTTCATGAAGAAACCCTAAAAGTTTCTAATTTTGAAAAATGAGGACTTAACTTTAAAAACTGATATTTTATTCACCTTTGATCAAAAAATGCAAATGAAATATGCTTGGAAAGATAAGAGGGTGATCTTTCATCTCCTTTTGGTATCATATCCAAATTGGCAAAGAGTCAAGAGTTATGGTCTTTGGAAGTTCATGCCTCAAGTTAAAATTATAGGTCATTTTCCAAAATTAGTGAATTTCATGTAAAATCTTGAGGACCTTAGTGGATTCAATTGCGAAAACAGAAAATTAAGAGATTGTAGATCTTTTTAATACCTTTCCAAATTGTACTCATTTGTGTCCAAATTCAAAAGTATGGGCAAGTTATGGTCTTTTGAATTTCATGTCATTTTTATTGAACTTTAGCCATGCAAGCAAAATGCCAAAACTTGAGAACTTCATTTTCAGTCACTCTTTTCACTTCTAATCAGGCCCATGACCCATTTGTGATTTGAGGAAGCCCATAATGGCAGCAAAATTGTGCCCCATGTGCAGCTGTACCACCATGACTCAAAAATTGACAACTTGCCAAATTTGCAAAAACACTAGCATGATCTCATCATGAGGAATCAAGGGCCAAGATTTAGTAGATCAAAATCTGAGTAGGAGAGGCCTCAAAAGCAATTGAAAGGAGAAAAAACGCACGAGCCAAGGGCATGATCAGAATTTCATTTTTCAACATGGCAGAAAAATTCAATCGGGCAATGCACTCACTTTGAAGCCCATTTCTCTTGAAAAAACTACTCTACATGCTATATATAATAAGAAGCAAGCACTGAAGGCGAAGGAGAGAGCTCACAACTTCCATATTCCAGATCTGAACTCAGAATTTCCATAGCTGCATTTTTCTTTGAATCTCAAGTTTCAGTGGTGCATTTGGAGTTTTTCTTCTTGCTTCTTCATCCTCAAGTGCTAAGGAAGCTAAAGCAAGCCTTGAATTGCATCTGGAGTGAGAGAATCAAGCATTCAGGTTGTGAATTGAGGTAGGTTCATTCAACTTTGATTTTTGAAATGTAGTCGTTTATTATTGAAATTAAGCATGAATATCTGTTTGTGGATGTTATATGAATGCTTCTGAAAAAATTTGAGGTTTGACTTTGGTATACAATGCTTGTTTGAGATCCATGTAACTCTAGGTTTCAGTGGCCTTTGGCTGTTTTTGCGCATAAATTTCTAGACACATGTTTGCTTACTTGATGTGATTCGAATTGCATTGAATTCCTTGTCATGATGGCTTTAATTTGCACTTGATTTGATGAAAAATGGTTGAGAAATGAGTTTGTTTGGAGGGTCTGAAGTTGAGGTGCAACACTGATGGACGCGCGCGTTTTCTGGTTTGGCTAGAGGTTAGGGATGATGAGGTGTCATCATCTGAACGGTCCATTTGAATTTTTGAATATTAGTTTATATTTTGATTTCAATTGATTTTCTGATTTTTGTTTCTTGATCAAAACAATTTAAAAAATTATTAAATTTTTATCACAAGTCCAAAATAATTCCTACTATCTTATGTAATTTTATTGGAATTTTTAAAAATGTTTTGATTGGTTTAAAAATCCGTAAGTTGAATTAATTGTTTGTTTGATGTTTATTTTTGTTATAAAATTTTCATTGATCTAAAAATTCCACAAAAAATGTTTTGGACTCTTAAAATAATTTAGAAATTGATTCTGATTTTGGTTTAGCATTTTTCCTATTTTTGATTAGAAATTTAATTTGAGAACTTTATTTGAAATGTTTGCTTCATAATTTTTGTTTTAATATTTCCTTTAATTCAAAAATCCTCAAAAAAATCATATAAGTTTGTTTTTAATCATAGTATCTGATTATAATTTTGTTTTGACCTTTTTATGACTTTTGGCTAGGGTTTGCATTTTGTCATTAAATAATAGTTTAATTGTTTAATTGTTTGTTTGATTTTATTTTAATATTTCCTTTAATTCAGAAATTCCACAAAAAATCATGGATGCTGGTTTTTAATTCTAATATTTGAATATAATTTTGGTTGGATATTTTTATGACTTTTGATTGGAATTTTATTTTGAGATGTGAATTTTTGTTTAATTGTTTAAAGGTTTGAATTTTGATTTTATTTTTAACTTTTCTTTAACTCTAAAAATTTAAAAAAATAAGTTCTCTGATCTTTAGAGTTTTCTTTATTTTTGTATGATTTTAATTTGATTTGTTTAGAATTGGAACTTGATTAATCAATAATTGAGTTCATTTTCTAAATAATTAGGGTTTTGCTAATTCCCTTGTTTGTTTTGATTCCAAAAAGCAACTGGCCTTGAGTTTCAATTGAATTTGGTTCTTGTTTAAGGTTCATAGATGGATTGAGGTCCTTAAAAATATTTTTCTTGAATTAATTGATAAGATTTGGTATTTTCCACAAAATATTTTGAGAACTTGTCTAGTTTGGTGGTTTTTGCCAACTAGTTTTTGATATTTGAAGTTTGATTGATCCTTTCCTCATTCATCCATGAACTTAAAATATGTTTGATGACTCTTATACATCTCAGGGATGCTAAGAAATTTTTTGTTTGAATTATGGAAGCCCTTTTCTTTTTTTTTTGATGTATTTTTGAAGTGAAGGTACCCAATTAATGTTGCATATCTTGTTGCAATTTGCTTGATGGCCAATAAACTTGAGTGAGGCCTATAATTGGACACCTAATGACCATGTTGGTTCTGTTTATCCACATAAACTCAAGTCATTTCACTTAATGCCCCATGTTTGAATGATTGAACCTTTTGATGCATGTTTTATGACTTTTTGCTTTCTTGTTGATCTTCACTTTGAAACTTGAGCTTTCAATTTGAGTTTGAGGTCATTAGATGGCCAATGATAACATGAATGGAAATGATACTTCAATGATAGTCTCATGAGGACTTGATAGTAATTGATCCATATTGCTTAAATTAGTTCTAATCATGAATAGAGTTTGACTTCTTTCTTTTATCCTTGTTGAATTTTTGAGGCATTTTGAATGCACTTGTGAAACTTGTTTTAGAATCAACACTTTAACCTTTTGATCATGTCCTAATCATGTTTTGGAATCTTTAATTCAGATCTTTGATTGTTACAAACTCTCTAATTTTGTCTGTGTTTGACTTTCTTCCATGGTTAGCTTGAAATCTAAGTCTTTGATGCATTGTGTGTGATTTCTCTTCTATTATGCTTGTGAGATGTGATGAAGTAATTGAGTATGATTGAATTGTGGTTGCTACTGACCTTCATGGTCTTTTATTGTATTCTTCTCAAGCTCCCATGATCCTTGATTGGTATTCAATTGTCAATTCAATATGGTGATAGAAAGGAGCAACATTCCTCTAACTTTTGACCAAATTATGCATATGCCTGTTTCTTTTTGTATATCAT